ATGACAGGTCTTGTTGGAGTTATGTCCCGTAGACTTAGATCTAAACTTATTTTCTTACTGGTACTCCCTTTATCGTGACTCTTAGCTCTTACAAAGAAACTCTCAGCCTTGTCCTTAGCATGGACATTAATGTCAAAATTTTCTTGTGACAATAAATAGATTTAATATCTTCATAAGTAAGAGTTTCATGATATTTATATAATATGATTTCTTTTAAAGTGTTAAGAGTTTCATGATATTTATATAACATAATTTCTTTTAAAGTGTTAAGAGTTTCATGATATTTATATAACATAATTTCTTTTAAAGTGTTTGTAAGAGGAGGGCAACGAGACAACCAACAAAATAGCTCTATCCTCGTCATCAATTTTAACATCAAGAATTTCGCATCAATAATAATAGAATTAAACTCATCAATATGAGATTGAATATGAGTACCCCAAATCATACGGAGCTTGTATAACCGCTCTTTGTGATAGACTTAGGGGCTTTTAGTAATGTATAATCATTCAAGATTTAGCCACAATCTCGCAGCGAAAGTCTCATGGACAACTTCACGCAGAATCTTCTTAGACAAGCATAGTTGGATAACATAAAGCACTTTTTCATCCAACTCATCTTGTTGCTCTTCAGTCATCCCGGCGGGCTTATTAAGTTACTAAGCAATGCCTTTTTAATCCTTTTGGGTGAGAACGTCTTTTTTCTGAACTCTCCAGATGTTGAAACTGATCTTTCCATCAATCTTTTTAATATCGAACTTGGTCATAGTCGACATGGTAATAATCCCAATTGAATAACAATGTTCTGATAGTACTTGCTAGGGATTAAAGCATATAGTGAAAGCACCCAAGAACAAATTCAATTGAGAATAAGAGAAGTAAAATATAAAAGAAATAAAAAATGGCACGCAGATTTTTGTAAAAACCCATAACAGGAGAATCCTCAAGGGGCAACAGAGACACAACGAGGATGAAGAGAATTACAAGCTCCCAAAATAATCTCTCTCTCATAAAGTTATGAATCTTCTAAAAATTAGGTTAAAGAGATAACAACAACAACAACAACAACCAAGTATAATCCCACTAGTGGGGTATGAGGAGGGTAGTGTGTACGCAGACCTTACCTCTACCCTAGGGTAGAGAGGTTGTTTCCGATAGACCCTCGGCTCTCTCCCTCCAAGAGAACTCCCCACCTTGCTCTTGGGGTGACTCGAAGATATATATATATAGATATATATATATATATATATATATATATATATATATATATATCCCTTCTAAAATAAAACTCTCCAAAAATTAAGGGTTAATAAAAATTGGTCGTTTGTCGAAACTAATTGCATTCGCTAGCTAAAAAGTGTACAAAATATGTATATTATATGTAAAAAAATACACATATATACAAATAATATGTATTTTATCTGCGATTATTTTTTGAAGCGGTTAAAACTAGAGAATCTTACATAAATATCCCAAATAAGTTCCAACGTACCAACCTCTAGCCATTAATCATAGATTCCAAAACTAGCCAAGCACATATAAAAATTAAAAATCCAAATAAATAAGGTTTTTCCTCTCCAAAAATCACATGCAAAGATCTCCTTTCATATTTTTATGTGTGATCAGCAATATTAGATGCAAGACAGAAAGAAAATTCCATGGATAAGGTAGCAAACTAGTGATGAAATACAAAAAAATATATATACAAGATTCTAAAAATCTAAGCAAAAAAGGACCTTTTTCAATGGGTATGGTTGAAATTCATTGAAAACATATAGATGAGTCGATATACAAATTTTGAGGAAGATTGGAGGTGATTTGGTATCAAAATTCGTAGTTAAAATCGAGTTCAAAAAATTCTTCTTAAGTATCACACACACAGATATACATGGATATACATGTGATACACATTTGATATAAATATAATACATATTTGATACACAAATGATACATAAATCATTTTTTTCATGTTTCATCTTCAACTTCGAATTTTCAATTCAAACCACCTCAAAACCCCGTCAAATCATACCAAAACTGAGATTCAAACTCCTTAAGATGTACTCAATCTATTCTAATAACGCCTACTCAAAAGAAAGAAAAAAGTTAACTTTGTTTTAGCTACAAATAGTTAATTGGCTAATATTAATAACATTTGGCTAATATTAGTAATATTTAATGAATTGGCCAATTTTTATAATAAACTACTTATAAATGGACATAGCTGGTAGTTTTCCTTAAAACTATGTGTTTCTCAAAAATTAACTAATGTTGGTCAAGCCCACACGAGATTTTGGGACATAAGCCCAACAATTTCAAACTCTTGAAATCAAATAGATTGTGATAAAATTTCGAATTCGAATTCATAAAGTTCAAGTTTAGAATATGTATTTTGTTACTATTTGTTGTAAGAACGTAACCCCTTATACGTCACTAAACGCCTATCATCTAAACAAATATATCATTCAAGGAGTAGGATTAAGATTAACAGATTAAATTCTTTACTAAGACACTTAACCAATAACTCTAAGCCAACATTGGCAACAAGTGGCGCACGTAACAGCTGAGAGTTAGGATTTTGTAGAAATGTGCACTTATTAGAAAAGGTCTTAAACCTAATCAATGTCTTAAGTTTTTTGTAGAATCTGGCACAAATCTTGGTTGCCATAGACCTTTGAACATGAGTCAAACATATATCACGATTTATTATTTAAAGTTGATTTGCTAATCTCCATCCACATGACAAATGATATGCTCGCAGAACAGATTTGACGAAGCAACTTAAGAACTCACCAAACTTGTTTATTGGACAAGGATTGTACACAAAACATAATAAATCTTCATTCACAATGAAAGAATTTAGGTATTGTTGTTGTTGTCCTTTTCCTCCTTCTTTTTCCGTGTTAATAATGTTGTGGTTTGTATTAGTTTGCACGTATCTCAATTATTCCATTAATTACGTGTCACCTCTTATTAGTAAGTACCGAATAATTATATCCACCAAATTTAAGGTAGATAGACAGAAATCGACTAGTGTTTTCTATTTCTTTTTTTTTTTAATTTAAACCTCGATCTCCTATAATTTTTGCCTACTTTATTGACCGCTTAAACAATATCCTCAAGTGCCTATTATTATTATTATTACTAGTACATTTATTCGCACTTCGCGCGGTAAGTTAGTGAATTTAGAAATAATTTTTAATAACATAAATTTAGATAGAAGAGATAAAATATTTCTTTGCTTGGAGCCAAAACTTTTTTCCTCTACTAACACAAAGCACAAAAAATGAAAAAAAAAAAAAAGAACTATCCAATAAGTTTATACCATAGAAATCGATCAAAAAGAAAAGAAAAGTGTTTTTTTTCTTTTGGATTGAATGTCACTCCTATCAAGGAATATATGTGAGATCCTATTTTGATATTATTTGCTTTCACTGAACCAAGTTATATATTTAATAAAGTTTTAGGTAAGATGAAAGTTCTATACTGAACCAATAATCTAAACTTTATTTCCATTATGGTTAACTCTTGAAAATGGAAGAAAGGAAAAGGAAAAACTAATTTTAAATATTTCACACAGTTAACTTACAAATTTTAGTTTCAAAGATAGAAGTTGTGACAAAATTTAGATTTAATTTTGACAAATGGCGGTCTTTCACCATGAGAAAGAGAGCGTACTTAGCTATACCACGGTACGTGGAGAGTTTTCGATTTTAATTAATTAATCTTCGAGACAGAAATGAAAAGGTGGCTAAAAGACTTTATAGCCAATGAACACACACCTTCGTTCATTTTGTCAAGAGAAAGGTAAAAAAATGACAGTCATTTTTCTTCTTTAGTAGAGAAAATGAAACGGTGGATAAAGATGTTATAGACAATGAACAGTCACTTTTTTATTTTCTGGAATTAGTTAAACTTGAAAATTAGAGTAAATAGCAAAAAAATGTGAAAAAAGATGAATAACTTTCCTAATCATATAGAGTGCCACATCACCTGCCTTAAGCCCCTATATTATATAAATATATAGATTGTCTTCTTATTCTTTTGTTTAAGTTATATCCCTCGTGGTGAAGCACAGCAGACTCCATATTTATGGTTCCATGTGGTGCCCTGGTCCAACGTGAAAACTCCATATTCCTTGGATTAAACAGTAGACTTTTGCCTAACTTTAGCAGAAACAGCTAAAACAAAATAATAAATGGAAAAAAGAAAACTGGATTCTACTTTGTGTATAGCAATGGAAACACTATTGATTCTCCTAATTTGGGAGGGTTTTCAACAAAAAAATAATAATAATTTTGTTTTGCAATAAAAACTGAGAGGTGGGATTATTTAAGTTGCTATCAAATGTGAATAAAGTAGCTTTCGTTTACTAACAAAAATTGTGTTGAAGACATAATTAAATAATTAAAAGTATGTTATTTCTAGTCTTAAAATAATTAAAAATGTATTCTCTGGTCTCAATAGCTTAACTTTCTTGATAAGATGGTACGCAATTCAATAGCATAAAAAAAATATATTCTGAGGTTTCAAGTCTCACCACCATCATTGATAAAGAATAATTTTCACATGTTTGGCCACGAAAAAAAGTGAGAGAGTGTATTAGTTCAATAATTAAAAGTGTACTATTTTAACAGCTTAAGTTTTTCAATAGGATGATCACAAAATTCAACAGTGTAATAGCAGTAACAATTTCCTCTTAAAACTTACTTCCTCTATTCACTTTTACTTGGCATGTATACTAAAAATAAATTTTTATTTTTACTTATCACTTTACGCATATCAAGAGTGAACAATTTTTTTTGGGGAAAGGACCACAACATAATGAAACATTGCACAAACCAGTATATGCCGACTTTAAACCCCATCTGAAACCATCTTTACTTGTATTCAACCTGTATTTAGAATATCATTTGATAGACAGTTTGGACGGGTTACGAGAATGGGGTTTGAAAATTGCCACAGCATCTGGCATATGGGATACCAGTTTACATCCAATACATATATATAGAACCCCATCTCTGTTAAAGCTGTAACTTGGAAACTTAGACATATATATTTACTCCTGCATAAATAACTGTAAATGAAGTTTGAGTCTCAACCTATCACGCTATACACAACATTTCAGAAACTTGATGATGGTGTTTAATCGTTTACACTTTACATACAACAATACGTACGTCCCCAACCAAATCTAAAAACTCTGAATTCTTTAAGAGGCCGAATGCAATGAAGCTTGCATCTTTGGTGATGCTTGTAGCTCTTTATCTGCTGCAGGCTCACAATCATGAAGAATAGCACATACGTCATTTTTTTCCAGAAACTGTTCAGCATTTACGAGAATCACTGGCGCATATTCAAAGATCAGTTTCTTGCACTGCCAAAAAATAACAAAAAGGAGAGTGAGAATAAAAACATCAACATAGATATCAAACAGGGTTTGTATATCCTTCATATATTTATCATCAGGTAAAAAGGTTGACAGTTCTCCTGGATGCAAAAGTATTCCAAATAATGTAGGACAACTGTAGCGCTTATTCATCCTTATAATCAATTTTAAGAGTTGTCAAGGCTTGATATCAAGTATTTAAGCATGGTTTGAAATTTTTTCGATGGATAACATTATACATAGGACAGCAGTGCATGGATACATGGATTGCAAAATCTTTTCATAGACTTCAAAAGGGGTCCAAAATACATTAATTATGATATTATTTATATCTACCGGAATTCCAAAAATCTGTTGCACTGGAAATCTGGAAACTAGCAGCAAGCTTGCAGATTTAGATATGATCAAACAATTAAATCGCAGATGTTTTTCTAACCTTTCTGGCATAAGGTTTGAGTTTGACAGCTTCACATGCCTTCAAGAGCAGCTCAAGTATTTCCAACTGAAAGGATGTCAAAAATAAAAATGAATAAGCAAACATATTCCAAGTGAGTATATTACCTCACGCCTCCAATCACATACTTATGTATATAAAATTCAACTCACAGGTAACTGCAAAGAAATCCTACATGGAGTTCTTATTTCGTATATATGCAAGTTGAGAAAAGATAAACGAAAGGTATTATTGAACAGAGCTAAAGTCCTATGCAGATGTTCGAAAATTCTCGGTATGTTAAGGATTGGAATGAATTAACATTATCTTTATTGGTCCATGCAACATGCATTTGGCTTCCTGCTCTTTTTTTTTTTTTGAGAACTTATCGAACAAATCTAAAGCACACAAATGATCGGAAACTAACTACTCCATGGATATTCATGGAAGTAACTTACTTGGGGAAGTACTTTAAAACATTCTTCGTTAGAAAGATTTCATCCAAATATTAATGCATAAAAGTGGAAATTTAGGCATTGCATGATATTCTGCATTACTGCTTATAATATAACTACTAACACGCAGAAATAATATTAGAAGTCCTAAAGCTGTCTTTAGTAGCAGATATCCAATTTTAAAATACAGCAGACTTCTCAACTAAAAGTGGATCATAACTCCAAAAAGATGTTCATCTCTTTTGAACTTAGTTCAGGTAACTATATACAATTTTATTAATATGTTATGTACATAAAATTAAACATAGTGTACCTGGGTGTCGGGATCTTTCAACTTAGATTCGGCCTCTGTAACTACTTGGTGGCATAAATCACAGCTCTGTCCAGAAAGCACCTGAGAAACGGTAACCACTCGTTCACAGAGATCAAACTTTTCGCAAAAGTCTTCAGGTCTTATTTTGTTGATCTCAGAGAAGAAGAGAGGAGCATAATAATCCACAAGTACGACGCACTGCAGCCAAAAAATCAAAGAGATTCACTCACAACCTAGCTATAGAAACCGTTCAGAGTCTCATATTAAGCAATTCAGAATAAAGAACTGACAGCAAAACCGAACAGGCCACCCAAATAATTTATAAATACAAAGGAAGGACGCTTATTGCTACTGACTGTTACACAGAGTTCAGTTTCATCTTGCACATTTTCGCTTATGATTTCGTTCCTTCTCTTATTAACTTACGTACAGTTTGACTTCTTAAAAAATCCATATGGCTTATACTTGCTCATTACAGTATAAGGAACCTCATCTGATTAGTTCTTCTAAAGACCGTGAAAAACAAAACGATTTCGAACAATTTCAGTCAACGTTTAAGGATGCGAGATAGTAGATAAATATCAGACAAAATGAATTTAATTCTCACGTAATCTTTCCTTCATTCCCGTACTTTACTTTATTTTCTCTGGTAAATTTTGATTTCTTAAGAAGTTGGAAGCTTAGACATACTCATTATAATAATGAAGACGACATCCAATCAATTAATTAAGTTTCTTTTTTGATCTCATCAAGGGAACCCCAAATGATCAGTTCTTTTCAAGCTCTGTGAACAAAATAAATTTATCTCAACAAAAATTTACCAAGCATTTAAGGATGTCAGACAGAAAAACACACTAAAATACGAATGCAACATCCATGACTGTACATCGGTAGTTCATTAAACAATACACCATCTGAATTGACTCAGCCTTCTTATGTGCAGTGAAAATCAATCATTAAGGTGAAAGAAATGGCCAATAGATAGACAATTTCAAGTTAGATTATAAGTACCTCCTGCTTGTAAAATGACATCTTCAAACAGGACTCATGAAGATGGTCAATGATCTCTGTTTGGGTCTTATAATTAGCCATGTACTTTAGTGCCTTGGCAGTATATTCTTCACACAATGTGCACAACTGTTCATTTCCTCCGACTTCTTCCGGAGGTTGAACTTGTCTCGGCACCTCTAGGTTATTTATCTGCAGTACTGTTGCAATAAAGCCAATTGTTAACAAATTCTTTTTCAAATTAATGAAGCTACACAAATACACCAAGCAGTTCAAATCATGTACTGTAGGGCATTTAGGTAAAAAGAGTGCATTAGGCTAGCAAGTAAGATTGACATACTCAACAAGAAAGATGCATCGCATATTCATTTAATGAAGCCAAATAAATGGATAATAAAAAGATGCAAAGATTGCTGAACTTGTAAGTAAGAGATCCCTAGTCAAGTAGTTACATATTCATAAAGTTTCAGAAATAGTCTAGAACCATTTGCATGAATTGCAACCTGTTATAAGCAAGAAGCTATAACAAAACACTTGTTCTTTCATATTTATAACCCAACTGCCTATCTTCATATACCAACCAATATCTGACACTCGAAAGGGAGAATATAAGAATCCTAAGAGGCCTTATGGATGCTAATCAATTGAGCACAACATAATATAATTCACATTGGCAGACTTGTAAATGTAGTACGTAATGTTTCGATCTCCTATTTACGTGAACATTTTCAGATATTGGTTTTCATCCTAGCCCCTTCAAAGTTGAAAGGAACATGATACAAATGTTATTCAATTGAAAAGACAGAAAGACTTAAACAAGTATATTAATGGGAAGGGTCAATGGAAGGTTTGGTTCATTTGGTGAGGATGGAAAGAGAATAATGAAGGCAAAGAAGTTTCGATTAGAGAAGGTCGAAGTTGCACTCCAAATAAGAATTTTTGAGGAGTGGCAAATTAGTCGTCTCGAGACTTACAGGATATATATTTATTTTTAGACATTACAAAATGTTTGATATATTTCAAAATATTTTAAGAATATGAATTCAATTGGCCATATGAAATTAAACTTTTTGAGGCTATGTTTCCTCAATCAAACAATTGTCCTTGTGTTTTCTTCCACCACTACCAATAAGTCATTATCAACATTTTAAACTATGCGGCCAATCCAATTATGTCACATGAAAATAGGATGGAGGAAGTAAATTTATAAACTGCAAGTAGCGGTCTAGCAGAAAATAACAAATATCCATTACATAACTAGTGATGTCGTGGAGAATTAAGGAGGTTCTTGTTAATGGAAGGGCAATTGGACGCTGACCATAGGAGAAATCAAATAAAGCTGTAAATAAGGTTCATAAATTAATCGATTTTTTGGTTGCTCAATTAAAGCAGTACAGCTATCCCACGACTGCATTAAACTAAAAAAAGAGAAAGTACCAGAAATATATTCAGTTTCAGTAATAAGGTGGTTACGCGCTGATAATTCTCTAGCAGTACAGCACCAGCTAGAACCAAGTATGAAAAGACACAGGCAGACCCTAAAATCCATGCTGCCAACGAGAGAACAATCAGTCAGTCTTGATTGAGGAAACAGTAAATCGAAGCAAAAAGAAAGAAATCTACCAATAGACATACTAATAGGACTTGAGGAATGGTAACTGGGAGTATCAAAGGGTTTTCAATTTTCAATAGTGAATTAACAAAGTACTTCTGTCCCGACAAAGTATATCTGACAAGAACTGTAAAACCAATACAAATACACAAATGAAGCTTATGCCTACATAAAGACTTCCTTTCATTAAACAGAGAATTAGATCTCACATTTATTCATCGCGAATAATACATTCCAAATCAGAGAATTAGAGGATCCGAAGAACCTTATGTTGCACAAGCAATCAGAACAGTGATGTCATTGCAATAATTACAGTGTGTTGTCATGATTCGCAATTAATATCATGTTTTTGGAACTTCAAGGAGATAAAATCAGCAGAAGCAAGCAAATCAGAACAAGATTTAATTCTGTTTCGCTTGGCTTATTTTCAGGCTCATCAAATTCCAAGCCGTTCTTACTTTAGGACTAGAATATCAGCCTTAAGCTAATCTCAACTACTCCAGTATCAAACTACTCTAAGCAACAAAATGGATAAATTATAATACTTATTTGGTGATCTCTAATATGCTTAAGATGCCCCGAGACTTAGAAAAGCTAATCTTTTTCCTTTTTCGTTTAACTCTTAGACTAGATTAGAACTGCTCCAGCTAAAAAGAACCCAAATTTGCACATGCGAATCAAATAAAAACAAACTATTCTAAGCACTAAATAGATCAAATTGTAACTATCATTCTCATCTCCTATATGAGATATCGGACCAGCTTGCTTGCACCTTGACTAATCCAATGACCAATTTATCCAGCCTATTTTATAAATTGGGATCTAAAAAGAACCCAATTTTATGAGCATGAATCAGAGAAACACTAAACTACTCTAAGCACAAAAATAAACTATTAATTCTACCATGCTGATAATCTGATATGCTTAATATACCCTTCACCAAAAGAAGTCATCTTTTATCCCCCTTTTAACACAGAGACTAATATGGAAGAATACCATGTTAAAACCCCAATTCTACATATATGAACCAAAGAAAAAATAAAACATAATATATGCCTGGTGAACAATATGATCGGATAATGAAAAATCAATCAAAATCCACAAAAGAAAACCCCATAAAAATACAAAGTCAGCATGAAAGATTTCTTTATACATAGTGAAACTCAGAGGCCGATCCATAATTTACAGTTTATAAGTAGTTAATACTCAAGTTAATATATAATAATAACAATTGGGTTCACAGTCCAAAAATATTGAGACAGATAATAGTAAAGGAAAAGAAAGAAACTTTGACTAAAAAAGAGGGTACAAAGAAGGATGACCAATAGCAGAAGAAAAGGGTGAATTGTAGAGGAGCTCAAGAATGTTCACCTGTAAAGAAGATTTGAGTTTTGGAGTTGTACTGACAAATAGAGAGAATGGCAAGACGAAGCTATTCCTTCAAGCAATGGCTCTTTTTCCTCTTTTATAGGAAGCTGTCCGAATTATTGTTCTTTTGTCTTGTATTAGTTTCCTACTTGGATATGATTTTCCTGCTCCTGCTATCTTTAGGATCACTATACAACCGGCTAGTAAATTAACTTTTTTGTTCGCATTATGGATATAATTTTGCTCGATAAAGTTATAATACTACTGTTTCAAGGAGTCAATAGCAAGGTCAGCATTTGAGTTACAGTTTGATTTTAAATGGATTTTACCGTACATTTCGTTTTCTTTTTTTTCTTTTCTTAAAGTACTCCATAATAAAGATTATTATGCGTAAATTCTCTTTCATGTTGAGGGATAAATTAAAGTTGTTTTTGTTGTCTTTTTCTCTTTTCTAAAATCCAAGCTTGTCTATTGTAGTATTTGTTTTCCTTTAATATCTAGCGGGACCACCCGAGAAGTAATTACTCAATAAGTTTTCCTTAATACCTCTTTCCAAAATTTTCACACGAGTTTTATAATAGGCCAAATAGGTGTACACCCCTTAAACTTGTCTCCAGTTTTCATTTTGAAACCTTAACTAAGCTCATTACCTATTGAACACTTCAACCCAAATCAATGTATGCCTATTAAACTCAAAAACTGACATGGCAAGAGAGTTGTATTTCACCCCCTCATACGCGCGTGAATTTAATGGGTTTGAGATCATGTTTTTTTTTTTTTTGTTTAAATCAAAATTGACTTTTTTTTTTTAAAGGCCACCCATAACCACCTGATCCCCGACGAGTAACGAAAACAAAAGAAGAACGGCAATAAATTTTATTGCCGGAATTAATGGAGATCGCTGGAAAAGTCAGAACTCCGGCCAGGTCCAAAGAGGCGACAAACAACAATAATATGTTATCAAGGTTTTAACATTTACACACCAACCACGAAATCAGTCATAGACAGAACACGAACGAATCTCTGATACCACAATGATGGAAGACCAGAAATGGTGATAAATATCGCCGATTTTAATGGTAGACCCCGAAATATTAAATGTCCGGTTACTTCTTTCAGTTCTGCTCTTTTATCAGTTAAAACAACAACGAAACAGAATAATAGAGATGAAGGAGAAAAGGAAATGAGCAATGGCCGGTGGTTGCTAGAATCACCGGATTCTTTTTTTGTTTCTTCCCTTTTTTTCTTAACTTGGATTTTTTCTTCTCGAGTTAGCTAAAAGAATGAATTTTCAACCCAAAAAAGAAAGAAAAAAATTGACATAAATTTCTCCCTTCCCCAGATCTGAAAATCCAAAAACGGTACCTGTGTTTTTTTCCTTTTGGCAGATGAAAACGGTAGTCTTCTGGTGGTTGAAGAGCCAAGGAGATNTCAAGTTTAAGGGGCCGTACACATATTTGGCCTTTATAATATATACTCCCTCCGTTTCAATTTAGATGAGGTACTTTGACTCCACACGGAGTTTAAGAAAAAAAAAAAGACTTTTAAAACTTGTGGTCTTAAAAGCTTAAGGGGTAAAAGCTTTGTGGGGCATGACATTTGTGTGGTTATAAAAACTTCTCATTAAAGGTAAAATGGGTAAAATAAAGAGTTTAAAGTTGAATTATTTTCAAATTTAAAAATGTGTCATTTATTTTGAAACAGACTAAAAAGAAAAGTACATCATCTAATTTGAAAATGAGGGAGTAATAAATTAAAAGATTTCAATTTTGAAATCCATTTTGTGGAAGAATTCTATTTAATTACTTTCACCAAAATGTTGTTACTACAATGTTAAAAGTTGTAGTATTTACCATAAATGTTGTAGCTGTTTGCCATAAAATAAGGTCCCTGTCATTACGCTATTTGAAACTTCAGCATTTTCAGTCTCCTTTCCTTTCGATAATTATACCCTACAATGGTTCTTTATTTTAATGATTCATTAGAAACATCTTTGTCAAATGAAAAAAAAAAAAAATTGTCTCCTACGTAATTATACAGAATATTGAAGGAATATTATACGCAAGTGGGTTATCCAAAAAAATAATCAAATGGATTTGGACGAGAAGTCAGAGGAGCAACCAAGATTTTTAATAAATGATATATTTTAGATTGTCTTTTTTTCTTTTTTTCTTCTTTATAAACCACTTAGATTCCAAGTTCGGATTCCTAGATGGGTTATTTTATACTCCTTCACTTTTACGGATCCACTATTCTAAAAATAGATTTTTACTTTTACTTGTCCACTTTTGCATATCAAGAAAAAATAATTTATTTTTCCTATTTTGCCCTTAGCATTAATTACTTATTCCAAATCAAATTTCAAATTTATTAAGACTAAACACCAATTAATATAAGTATTATAGTAAATTATGCACTTTAATTATTATTTATTAAGGGATATGCAAAGTCAATAGTGGACAAGTAAAAGTGAACGAAGAGCGGGAGTAATTAGCAAAATTGATGTTTAAGGAGGGGGCATAAAAGTCTTATCTCCTAATCCTAGCTGGAGAATGAACAAATTCAAGGATCGTTTGGTTATATTGGGATTAGAATACTAATTCCGGCATAAAATTTGGAACTATATTTATTCTTCGTATAGTTATTGAAATTAGCTAAAATTAGTATAAATTTTATATTAAAATTTTGGTATTATCTATGCCATATAGAATGTGGAATTCTAATTCCAAGATATCTTTGTCCCGAACCAACCGATTCTTGTACGATGTGAGTGCCCATACATGTCTTAGTTAAAGCAAGTGAATGGTTTGAAATTCAATTAATTACTTCACAGAATAACACTTGTATATACTGAACTAGTATTAGTATCCGCGCGATGCGCGGATACAAATCATATAAAATTGTGATGTAGGTTTTTTTGAATCATGTGCAAATAACTGTAAAATATAAACCTCTCAGATAAAAATTATATAAACATTAGATATTAATTAAGAAGCACGATATGAATTTATTTTTTAAATTTCGTAGTGGACAACCTATTCTTTTTCTATCTGTAGCAATCTAACTCCTTGATTTTAGTACTTGTATTTCGTTTCGCTGTCAATATTAAAGAATACTACATGTTACGTTGTGACCTGTCTTGTTTGAACACATTAGATCATATTATTTTAATAATATTCTTACTATCACTTCGTTTTTATCTGAATGTCAAATATGTCTTATTCATCACATCATTTTTATGCAAATTCTTTTTTCTTTTTGTTCTTTACTTATAATATTGTATTATTTAATATTATTACACTATTATATAATATTTTATTAACTTAACAATTAATTTAATGTCTTGCTTATTATCCTTTTAATAGTTTTTAATAAATATAATTTTTTTATTATTGAAATTTAATATATTTTTATGCATATATCCTCTTATTTAGAATTTTTTAATCATTTAAATCTATCAGCAATATTTTTAAATATAATTTAATTATTTAATTTATTTATTTTTAAATTAATTTAAAGTATAAGTATCCTCACACTACCTCTATTTCTTTTTTTATACATTCTCTTCCCTACTACAAATTTTAATTAGTTTTTATATTAATGTTTTACCTACAAAAAAAATAAAATAACATTTTATTTTAAATTGTAACTTCGAATTAGTCTAAAATAGTAATACATAAGTTATTTGATTATTATGTTCCAAATGTATTGAGTTTTCTTATAATAATATTAGATGCAGTTAAATTTTCTTTCTTTTTTAGTTTTAAAATACAAATTTAATTCTTAATTTTCATTAGTAAAATTAACTATATTAGAAATTTATTATGTATTTTTACAATTTATTTTAATCATAAAAAAATAATTTCTTAATTGTTTGAACACATTATATATAAATATTGTAGTAATATTTTCACTGTCATTTTATTTCTTTACGTAAATTTTCTTTCTTTTTTAGTTTTAAGATACAAATTTAATTTATAATTTTCATTAGTAAAGTTACCTATATTAGAAATTTATTTGTATTTTTATTTTTTATCAATATTTTATTTTTCATAAATAAGACTACAATTTCGTGGTCTTATCCATAGTTTGAGCATTCTCATCATAATTTAAGAACTTTCTAATCACAAATTCAAATAGTCTTTCCCTTTCATTTTTAATAGTAAGTTTTTAATAATTATTTTTTAATTTTGCTATTTTCTTAATCTAATATATAGTCTTATTACGTTTTATGTGGTTTTTAATTAACTTGTAACTTTATTTAATATCATTATCAACTACTATGGTTTAATATAATGTAGATAAATATAGAATTTATTTAATCATAAAATAAATATTTATTTTATTTTGAATTATTGCTCGAAAATTTTAAATTATTTAAATCTGTTAATAATATTTTTAAGTATTTTATATTTACTTTATTTTATTTTCTAAACTTATGATTTATAAATTTTCCTCACATTATCTCTAATTTATTTTTATTATTCAATATTTCTAGTTTTTGATTTTACCTATTAGACTTGAGTTACGTGGACTTATCCATATTATGACCTTTCTTATCATAATATAAAAAACATTCTCATCTCAAATTTATTTTAAGTTTTACCCTTTTTTTCTATGGTAAAAATTTTGAATTGTTTGAATTTAATATCTATTTCTACCACACTCATTCTAATATAATATTAATAAAAATTAAAAATTATTTCAATAGTAACTTTGACTTTATTGTTCATATTCCAAAATATGATTTTTCTTATCATAGTTCAAAAAAAAAAAAAACCATCTCAAATTAAGATAATTCTTATCATTCTATTTTCTAAATTGGACCGCATTTTCAAAATATTATGTTATGCTTTCAAACTTAAACTAACTGTACTCAATTCAGATATAAAACATAGAAAACTATTTTCTTATTTGTTTGAAAATATTATATCTAAATGTTGTTGTAATATTTACGTATAAAATATTCGTTTGTCCGATTTATCAATATTAATATGACATTATTATTTTTGTTATTAAAATATTTTTTACTGATTATTTAGTTTTTTTCTTACCTTCTAAATAATTTGTATATTTTATGTAAGATCTTATTTTGCTGCTTGAATTTTTTTATTTCTTAAAGTCAATAAGTCTTTA